ACACACACACACACACACACACACACACACACACACACACACACACTACTATTACTACTACTATATGGATTGTATATGTTTATATTCCCTCACACTCTCTTCTCTGTAAAGACCTAGACATAAGGGGCCAATTCAGTAGCTGTAGCTCCATGAGTGCTCAGACTTTTTTAGTGTATTGGGGGGGGGGACTGAACACACTATGTAGCTCAGGCTAGCCTTGAACTCTCTATGTACCTCAAACTTGGTATGCTCTTGCCTTAGTCTTCTGAGTGCTGAGGTAAGAAGCAGAAACCCTCGACCAAGCTTAGTGCTTTGATTCTTTAAATACCTTCTCACCAAAAAGAACCAGAGCACCATGGAGAAACAGCTGACTATGGTTCTGGAAAAGGAAATAAAAAAGATGAGCCTGCAGCATCTCAACAGGCCATGCAGCAAGACCTGAGAGCAAGACAGTTGTCGAAACCACTGTAGAGCTAGTGAGCTAGCCTCCCCTCTTAGCACTGGGGTTGCAGGCATGTGCCACCATGTCCAGCTTTTATGTGCATGTGGGCATCTAAACTCTGGTCCTCCCCCATGCTTGCATACCAAGCACTTTACCCATGGAGCCATCTACCCAACTTCTAATGATGGGATTTTAGGAAGAAATTGGGTTGGAGCCCTTGCCTAGCATGCATGAAGCTTCTAACATCACAAGACAAAAGTAACAACAACCAAAAGGGGAGTGCCTGCTTTCTGTTGGGAAGAGGCCGTTGGGACACAGGTCCAGAAGAACCACATGAGACACATGGAAAGATACATCCACTTTGCTGTTGTTTAGGTCACCAGCTTTTGGTGCTTTGTTACAGCAGCCCTAGCAGAGCCACAGAGCAACCTTGCCACAGAATTCAGCATGACTCAGATCAGACTCCAACTCCCACTGACAATGTGTAGAAATAAGATGGCACTGGAAAATGTCAAACAGCCTCAGAAAAGAATACCAGAAGATGTGTTATGGAAGGACAAACAACCCAGTTTCTTTCTTTCTTTTTTTTTTAAGACTTATTTAATGTGCATTGGTGTTTTGCCTGTGTGCATGTCTATGTGAAGGGGTCAGATCATCTGGAACTGGAGCTACAGACAGTTGTGAGTTGCCATGTGGGTGCTGGGACTTGAACCCAGGTCCTCTGGAAGAGCAGCCATTGCTCTTGACCACTGAACCACCCGGTTTCTTTAATGAAAGAGAAGCTGATAATTAATAATAAAAAAAAAGCTTCCAAGAGGTCAAAGAGGTGTGAAACAAATTTGGACTTTGTGACAGTTTAAAAGTTATAAGACAACTAGACTTTTGGATGGTGACTATTTGGTGAAATTATTAATTGTTAAGGAGGGGGTTGTGTATAAAATACAAGACGTATTAGTAATGAAGAGAGAGATAAAATAATATTGGCTGTCAATTGATGCTTGCTGAGTTGAATGATGAGCACTAGTGTACCGTCATTTTGTCCATTGTGTAAGTAAAACAGATTGCACCACCTTTCACTGCAGTGAATGAAGGTGCAGATTTCCTATCTGGAGAGAGGAACATGCTCCAAACTGACAGCAAGCAGCTCCAGAAAACATGCCTTTCCTTTCTTCCCTTGCTGCTCACAAAGAAGCAAGGGATGGCCAGGAAGCCACAGCATAAATAAAGGAAGCCCAGGCTGCTGAAGCTGGCAGAAGTTACCGGATGTCTTATGTGCCAATGTCAGGAGCGACACTGCATTCCTAATAGGGGACCCAAGACAATCTAATATGTTTAATTTTATTAGGTATTTGGCTACCTGTTCTGAGGCCATGTGCATGAGAATTCTTGATGCAACGGTCACCACATAGATGTCATTTTAAAATACTGAATGAAAAGCAATCAACACCTCTGTGTATTTCTACATTGCAAGCAAGTTCTTGGCAGTGGGTGTTTTTGCAGTATGTTGTTCTGTGCTAGAGGACTGGTTGGAGTAGATTGCAGAGCCTGCGTAGGGGAAGCCCAGCTGGAGTCCAGAAGGGCACCCAGCAATGTGCTGGTGACATCATTATTCACATTCTGGAGCTCAGGGAAGGAAGCCAATCTGGTAAATTAATGAAGACGTGTTCACTCAGGGCACAGAGACTATTCTTGTTTCAACTCTTTACTCCAGTCTAGTGGTAGAACGTTTAACAAGCCTTTAAAATAAAGTGGTCATGCTTCCTGGGAAATAAAGGCAATAAATCAAACTCACATGATCACAACACTAGATTTGACACTTACCTGCTCAGGATTGAACAATCTCTTCAAACAAGCAGAGTCCAAGAGAGTGGGTGCTTTGTTTCAAGAGGGAAAATGAAATCTGTACATCCACCGCCCTTTCTGCCCCTTTAGACAAGCAGCATTCAAGTCATTTGGATGTCAGCTGTAGTCAGACGGGTAACTCGGGGAACCCTCTTGCACTTTCCCAAATGTGTTCTTTGGGGGAACAATTCCATTTTTTATCTTTTCAGCAGGATAGATTTCACGCTATATGGGATGACACGATTTTGTTTACATTTAAATAATCTCTACCCTAACCTGTTTTTTCAAAATGATTTCTGTCATAATGAGCCATTTCATAAATCTATTTTTTGAACTATTGATGCTATGAAAACTTTAGACACTTTCTTTATGTGGGATGGAGAAAACTTCTAACAAAAGAGTCCCAGGCTGAGAAGATGGCTCAGTAAATAACACGCTTGCTGTGCAAACATGAGAGCTGAACTGAGTGCCACTCCCCAGCACCCACATACAAGCCAGATGTGGCAGTGCACATCTGAAACCATAGCACAGGGGAGGGGAGGGCATAGAGGTGATCAGAAGGTCAGACATGGGAGAATCCCCGGGACTCACTTGTCAGCTAGTCTCTAAGTTCAGTCAGAGACCCAGTCTAAAAAACTAAGGTGTAGAGCAACTGAGGAAAACACTCCGCACTCATCTCTGGTCTCCACACAACACATGCACACTCATGAATATGTACATGCCTAGTAACATAAACACAGATCTTCCATGCTTCATCATAAATGATTATAAGTTTAGCATTCACATACTTAGTGCCCGTTTCACCTGCTTCTACAGCAGTAAAAAAATGTCTATTCATATCCCTGTGTATGTCTTTTCTACATGACACAGACATCTGGTAAGTCCCTGAGCACATAGTGGATGTATGCTCATACTGTAAAATCTGGCTAAGGCATCTATTATTTAATGACAGGAGCAACAAAACATTGCTGAACTGAGGAAACCAACAACAACAAAACAAAACTGAGGAAACAGCTTGCTGAGAAAGCAGGGTTATCACACCCAAGGGTCACAGTATAAATGCATGTCACCCTTTGCATAAGCTACAAATGCATGAGTGGACCTTGGGACCTTGGGGCCATCAGTTGTCTCATTTTGTCTTCTGGGGCCTTGGTGCTATCAATTGTCTCATCATGTCTTAATTTTTTATTCAATATTACTTTTTGGGCTTATATTAGATAAAGATAGACCCTTAGCTTTTCCAGCATCCTGAAGCCAAATCATAAAACAAGTATGGCACATGCCTTCTAGAAAACTCTGTAAGCCACTCAGGGTTTTGACTATAAGCAACTACTTGGCATGGGGGGCGTGACTAGCAGAACTGGAAATATTGCTCAACAGTTAAAAACATTTGCTGCACCTACAAAGGACCTGGGTCCAATTCCCAGCACCCATATGAATGCCTCACAGTCATCTTTAACTCCAGTTCCAGGGAATCTGATATCCTCTTCTAGCTCCTTGTGTACATGGCATGTGCATGGTACATACACATATATTTAGGTAAAACATGCACACACTTGGAGGAGGAATAGGGAGGATGAGGGGGCACTTCTTGGGGCTTTGGAGAGATGGCTTGGTGGTTAAGAGCACTTGCTATTCTTGAAAAGGACCAGAGTTCAATTCCAGTCATCATGTTAGGAAGCCCACAATTACCTGTGACTCTAGCTCCAGTGCCCTCTTCTGTCTTCCAAAGGCAACATTACCCACATACACACACACACACACACACACACACACACACACACATATATATACAGACATACATAGACACCTAAATGAAAATAAAATAAATTACCTTTAAAAAAAGAGGATAGCTTCTTTCTATAAACCCTCCTCTCTTTCTGATAGGTAATATTTATCCTAGGATGACCCCTTTGCATTTAAAAGTTTCCCTACCAGTAACTTGAATATGTGTACTTTTGCGCTCTCTCTCTCTCTCTCTCTCTCTCTCTCTCTCTGTGTGTGTGTGTATGTGTGTGTGTGTGTGTGTGTGTGTGTGTGTGTGTGTGTGTGTGTGTGTGTATCTCCTTCATGTTTTTAAATGGTGTCTATGACAGGCTGTTGATCAAGGCAGACAAGTGTTACCCCAGGGAGAAAAGATGAAATGTTTAGGGAGCATGTACAGCATAATCATAAATGATTTCTGGGTTGTGAGTCAAGATGGAGAGTCAACTAAAATAAAAAAGTCAGACTCAACTCTCTTACGATATGTGTAGCACTAATGTGGAACATCCTGAAATCCTGTTTCACCCTTCAAAGCCCCTGCTCCTGGGAAGGGCTGAGTGGTGGTGCCTGGCTGTATTCAGCCCCAGCCTGGTCTCTGGTAGTGGGACAAATAGCACTAAGGATAGGGAGGACCTTCTCAAGCAGCCAGCGTCTCTGAAATCTTACTCCATTTGTTGCTGTTCATCACAGCAACCTTTGCCCCATCCACCTATGCAGAAGGCTAAGCTGGAAAAGGAAGAGGTGAAGAAACTCATCTTAAAGCTCTCCCTGAGGGGATCTGATGGTTAAACTGTGGGCTGCACCATAGATGCAAAAAGAACCTTGGAAATGAAGGTCTCCTTCTAAGTGTTCCAAGCAGAGAACAGAGGGAA